CCAAAATCAGCGGTAGGCAAGCGAGGGAACTTAGGAGGAAAAAGTTTAAAAGCTACCTCATAACGTTTCTCACGAGGAACATTAGGGGGAATTTTTAAGGTATCCAATTTCTGGAAAAAGTTTCTTTATAAGGTAACATCAGCCTCATGGATGGTTCGACTAAGATCATCTAGTCGATAAACAGTTTCAAAGTACTTCTGGAAGGCTTGAATTTCTTGAATGTGAGTAAGCTTACTTTTCTTTGACTTTTCCTGCACAGCAAGGAAAGCCTGATCAAGAAGTAAAGAAAAGGTAGCAAAATCAAGGAAATACTCAGCATAATGTTTCGACCACCAATGGTGGAACGAAGAAGTGCATAAAAAAGAAGGCTCAAAAAACACGGGCGAGAGAATGCCCGTCTTATGGCTAGATTCAGCAAAGATGTCAGAGATGGTATCTTCATAGAAACTGGCAGTGTGGAGGATTACTTGTCCCTTCTTGTCGTATAAGCATCTGGGAAAACTCTGAATCAACCCAAATTGGCGAGAGACAAGATTAGGCTGATACGCAATCAAGGATGCTAAACCTCTCCCTGCGTCGAGCCTGTTAACAATGAATCTAGGAATCAAAAAGGCTTCCCAGATTGCAATCGAGTCATCGCTACCATGTCCTTGAGGAGCAAGAAATGGCCGTTTAAACCATAAGGGCTAAACTTCCTTAAGACAAAAGGTGCCATGCTAGGAGTAAACTCAGAGCATTGGGCAAACATCGAGATGTAGCTGGTAAAAGCTTCTCTGATAGTTATGCCCTCATCAGTTGGGGTCAGTTGAACCAAACGAGGCCATTTGACGTGTCTCCCCTCAATCTCAGCAGGCATTTCAACAACTTGTCCTCTTCTAGGAAAGTTGGTCTTGAAATTAGCATTCAACCATAGTTGAAGCAGCCATAGAGGACCATCCAAAGATACAGATTCACGAGCTTTTAGACGCTTTAGTCGAGAAGCCGTTTCACTCAAAGATTCATAGAGGGCTGCCAGAATAAGTTCACTAAGACAAACACCTTTGTTGTGGTGTAGTTGATTGGCAAGAGGTAGGTATTTCTTGGCTACCTGCAAAGACTTGGTATAGAATACGTATCTTGACAGCCACATGGCGAGGAATGCCACGTGCTCTTCGTCAGACACACTTTCAGTAGTTTGATCGAAGTGGTGGTTGACGAAGTGAGTATAGGTGAGCTTAGAGGTGGAGATGTTGATGTAGTCTTTAACATCAATGTCAAGTTGGTAAGAGACACCATCAGGATAAAGGCCGGTGATAGCGGCTATGTTGAAGAGTGTGGGAGAAACCATCCCACATGGTAAGTGAAATGTATAATGGGTATTATCCCAGAAATATAAGGAGGCCACAGTAAATTCAAACAGTGTGAAAACGGAGTCTTCGACAACATTAAAAGATTATAGATCCCTACAGTTTTCCAGTGATCAGCCTTAACTTTTTCCACTTTGGCCATCCAGAGGTCGAAATCCTTCAGTGGACTCACAACTCTTAGTAAACGAGTACCATCAGCAAGGTAACCAAGGTCAAAAGTTGGCAATGAAGTAGAATCGACGATACCAGTAAAAGGTGTAGGGAAACTTTTTTGCCCTAATGGCCTTGTTCTCCGGTAAGACAGTAGAAATTCACTCAGCCGTGCATCAAAAAGGTCAACTTGTGCTAAGGGACCTGACATTATGTAGGGTTTACCTGAAACAGTCAGAGGAATCATTACCTGGGAATGATACATGCTCTTGGCGGTCTCGTAGGTGGGTTCCGGAACACAGGGACGATTCTCCATCAAGTGAGGGCCAACCAGGTTGATGAAAGGAGGAATGGTTTGTTTTATTTGGGTAGCGCATCCTTTTTGAGTTTTCTTCTCCTGAGCAGCGGATTGGGAAGAAGCCATTGTGCGTGTTTGGAAATGAAATGGGTTTTCTTTCTAAAAGTGACGAAGAACGCTAAAGAAAGACGTAAGACGTTTAAGATTCTGGAGCGTAAAAAATTTTCACGAAACGGTGAAGGAAGGTATTTAAAAACGTTTGAGAGTCCAGAAGGGGCAAAATCCACTGTTAAAAAATCAAGCAGTGGGACACGTGTTGGGTTAAAGAAAAGGATGCGTGTGGGCAGTTATGGTCAGATTACAAATGCATGTTTTCAAGACAAAGTGATGATAAATACGACTGAAAAGACGTTTGAGGTTTTATCATGATGGCTTAGTGTCATAAGCATGGAAGGAAAAAACTGAACAGTTAGACCACTAAACAGATAGTGGGATTTCAATCAAAGACATGCAAAGTAACGCGTGTCGAAAAAATATATGATGAAAAACTGACATTCCTATCCAAGACTGGCGAAAGGACAATTTTTGGGGGTAATTTGTTGGCTCCTAATTTTCGACGCTAGTCGAGACTAGATCTATCTTAGGTCAAAAAAATACCAATACTTGGTGCATGGAAGAGTTTCGACCCAATCAAGGAAAACTTCAAGTCGAAGAAAGATGAACAAGGGCCAAAAAACGCTAAGTGTTAGAAAATGCTCGACGAGGACTATGCTAAGGAGAGAAAAGAGATGGTTTCGCCAAATTCGAGGGAATTGCAGAATATTCAAAATTCAAATCAAGTGGAAAAGAACGTATGGGCGGTTAAGAGCATAAAGAAGCGCAAAAAAATATGCTTGAAAGTCTCAACCGCTATGTAGTAGTTATTCTATAACACTATAAATAGGTGTAAATTTTATGTAATATGGGTGTTCATTCATTATTGTACTAGTTCATACAACTCAAAGTATTCACGTGTAGAGAAACGAGTTAACGGGAATGTACGTGATACAACACCAAACCCTTTCTTATCAATATAATTTATCTTTACAATTCACTTGCCATTTTTAACTTTCAGTTTTTATGTTCAAAACCGCCCTTTACACTTTTCTGCCCATTTACTTTGCAAAGACCCCCTAGTCGAACGTGGAGTTCTGATTAGAGTTATTTTCCAAGCAATTTACTTACTTGCATCTTTATTTTCAAAAGTCATTTAGTTTTCAAAAGAAGCACGTCGAACGAGGAGTTTGACAGTAATCTTTGTCGCCTTTAAATTCCAGTTGATCTTTTAAAGCCATTAACTTTCGACTTTACTTTTCAAAGCCATTTACTTTTCTTGCGCCTTTAATCTTTCGTCCAATTATTTTCAAAGTCATTTACCTTCTCGCTGTTTAAATTTCCAAGACTTTAAAGTCGAACGTGGAGTTCCCGTTTGAGTCTTTCGCACGTTTAATTTCAAAGCCATTTACCTTACAACCTTTTACTTAAAGATCCCCTGGTCGAATGTGGAGTTCAGATTGGAGTTATTTTCAAAGCTATTTACTTTCTTGCACTTTTATCTTCGAGCACCTTTTACTTTACAAAGAGCTTGTAGTCGAACGTGGAGTTTGGTTATAATCTTTCGCCCTTTACATTCTTGTCTTTATTATCAACACCTTTTTAGCTTTAATAGTCGAACGTGGAGTTCACCTTAGGGCAACTTAGCACACGCTTAGCACATGCTCTAGGATTTAGTATGGTTGATCCTGCAAGTTAGTCAATTTACCCTAAATTGATAGACCAGCGGTTGTTTACCAAAATTCACAGTAAATAATTACATTTAAATATTCAGATGAACGCTTCAACATCTTCATAATATCTTCGATCAATATTGAAGTCGTCACTTCCACCTCGATCGAAACTTTTGTTTTGAAACGGAAAAATGTATTCCACACTAAATCCCAGTTTGGAGGTCTCCATACAAATTCATTAAAGCATGTGATCACGATATTCAAACTCTTGCTAATTTTTAAATTGGTTGTCAACATCTACCTTTTTCACAATAACACATTTGGCATACAGAGACATAACATGTTTGGGAAAAACACCGGGGTGCACCATATCTCATAAAAACAATTTTAATAAAAAAAATTCAAAAATTGCTAAAACAGTAACCGATGCTGAAAAAATGTGAACAGACAGGTTACAAAGATGGATTTCCATGAGTTCATACAGAATCCAGAGACGCGTCTCCGGATTCAATGCACGTTTTTCATACTAAAAACAAACTTAATATGATCAATGAGGTTTAAAATGAATGATCTTTACTTGAAATTCTAGCTTCTTTTGCTCATTTTGAAGTGATGAAACACAAGAATGAAGATTTGGAGTGAAAATGTTGATTGAGAATGAAAGCATTTTTGGAAAGGATTTGGAGTGAAAAAAAGTACGAGTCTTTGATCATGCAGGTGACTATTTTATCAAAATCATGTTTCTTTATTCTAGATATGCATCTCCGTAAATACCTTACATGCAAAGATGACAAATATTTTAAAATTCTGTCTCAAACCTCTAAAGATGATCTTTGGAATATCTAATGGATTGTTCACATATAAATATATTTGTTAAGAATACTCGAAGACGCATATTCATAACAAAATTTTGTTTTACTTTGGAGTAACACATCATAAAGTGATGTAATATATTCAAAATCTCAAAAATATTTTAAATTTTTTTTAGGTTGTTTTTCCACTCATATGGTGGGATAAGAAATCCTCATTAAAAAAAATACAATTTTATAAATTAACATTTTTGCTTAATTATACGGTCCTATTGAATACATATTTATGTAAATTAATTTCAAATGGATATATATTTACATCAATAATTTATTCTAAAATATTTAATGGACACTTATTTATAAAAAACAAACATTTATCCTTTTTCTATAAAAAAAAAAATCAATTGTATTTTAAACCTCATTCACAACAAATACATGCTATTTTTAAATAAAAAAATAGTTAAATAAAACAAATACTAGAATTACGAGTATATCCTCTAGATTGGGACGTAATCAATGTCGTGTTTTTAAAGTCACAGGTCTAGAGCTTCCAATCAATAAAACTAGGATTACAGTTTCGTTTGGTTCCATCACTTTCATCATCACTGTTACACTGAACCATTCAATCAATATGAACGCTCTCGTTGCAACCAACCGTAACTTCCTTCGCGCATCTCGAATCCTCGGTTTGGATTCCAAACTCGAAAAGAGTCTTCTTATTCCTTACAGAGAAATCAAGGTCGAATGCACCATTCCAAAAGATGACGGAAGTTTGGTTTCATACATTGGTTTTAGGATCCAACATGACAATGCTCGCGGTCCTATGAAGGGAGGAATTCGTTACCATCCTGAGGTTTTTATTCTTTCTTAGATTTGATTATTTAATATTCATCCTTTTTTTATCAAAATTTATTATGATCGCTGTTTATTTATGATTAAAATTCAAAACCTAGATATAAATTATTATTGCATTTACGATCTTTGATGTGTGGTAATCACGATTGATGATCTCTTACTTTCATTGTTGTTATTGTGTTGGTGCGATGTAAGTTTTAATATGAAATTAAATTATAGATTAAAATCATAATTATAATCTCACTCTGTGAAAGATTTGGGATTGAGTTTTGTAAATGAAAATAATATATGGTGTTTTTAGGGCACAGTTTTAAATATGCGTGATTTATATTTATATATATATATGTTACGACACAGGTTGCGGTCATCGCGCAAAACACTGAATAATGGTATAATGGTATCGGTGATATCTTTTAATACCGCTTTGTTGCTGACGTTTTCGCCGTTTTTTAAAACCTGGACATGTATTAATGAATTTAATATATAGAAGTTTTTTTTTTTAATTTTTAAATTGGTATATTCAATATCTCCACAACTTTAAAATTAATTTTTTCCATCTAAAATTACTATCTTTAAAATTATTCCTATTTGTATTTCATTATTCTTTGACCTAATTTTCTGAGTAGCAATGAGTGCAAGGCATGACCTGAATTTGAGAATGTTTTCTTTTTTAGTTGAAGCAGAAATTTATTTTACTATATTAATTAACTGAATCATTAACTTGTAAAAGCTGTGTAATTTTAACTGAATCATGCATATGAAGGTAAATAATGAACTATTTACATTGCTTTTGAGTATTAATGGATTGCATTTTCTTGTGCTAGGTTGACCCGGATGAAGTGAATGCTCTAGCTCAGTTAATGACATGGAAGACAGCTGTTGCAGACATACCCTATGGTGGAGCAAAGGGAGGAATTGGCTGTAACCCGAAGGATCTGAGCATCAGTGAGTTGGAACGTCTCACTCGTGTTTTCACTCAAAAAATTCATGATCTCATTGGCACTCATAGAGATGTTCCTGCCCCTGATATGGGAACCAATGCTCAGACAATGGCTTGGATGCTTGATGAGTATTCTAAGTTTCATGGTCATTCACCGGCAGTGGTGACCGGCAAGCCTATTGTAAGTGTATAATAATATTGCACAATCATTACCAACTGTAGCTTTAGGTCCTATTTGAGTGGTCATAGTTTTCTTGTGCACACAATGATAGTTTGTCTATCCAAGATTCAAGAAATCAGTTTGAAATATTTGGCTTGTAGGATCTTGGAGGTTCGTTGGGAAGAGAGGCCGCCACTGGACTAGGAGTGGTTTTTGGAACGGAGGCTCTATTTGCTGAATATGGGAAATCAATTTCTGATATGAAATTCGCCATCCAGGTATTTATTCACCACCACCACCACCACCATACTATGATATTTAATATACCACTTTTTCAATACAATGTTGTCAATTACAGATAGTGGAAAATTGCTGTTTATTTTATGCTGAATAGCGTATCATGGAACAATAGTGCTGTGTTGTGTTCAAATACCGCTATACAATATTGTTACAATGCTGCTAAAGCCAATTTTTAACAACACTACATCTATGTGATTGATTATTAATATGTTACATTGTCTAGGGGTTTGGAAATGTGGGCACTTGGGCTGCAAAGTCAATTTTTGAGAGAGGTGGTAAGGTGGTAGCAGTGAGTGACATCAGTGGTGCTATTTGTAATCCAAACGGGATTGATATTGCGGCTCTTCTGAAACACAAGGCAGACAATGCAAGTTTGGTGGATTTCTCGGGAGCAGATGCTATGGATCCAAAGGACTTGCTCACCCATGACTGTGATGTTCTCATCCCATGTGCTTTGGGAGGTGTTCTCAACAAGTATGTTTCATCTAAGTTACCTTAGTTCATAGATAATCATCGTTAAAGTATATTGTCGGTGTAACTTCAACTTTGTCTATTGTTCATGAAGGGAAAATGCTGATGATGTGAGAGCAAAGTTTATCATAGAAGCTGCAAATCATCCAACTGACCCCGATGCTGATGAGGTAATGTTCTGGCTCAACCAATGTAGAGTTACTTAATGTTATAAAATTGAAATGATTTGTTTGTTGCAGATTCTGTCTAAGAAAGGAGTTATTATATTACCCGACATTTATGCGAATGCTGGTGGAGTGACTGTAAGCTATTTCGAATGGGTCCAGGTAATGATCAACTCGATAAGTGAAAATTTCAGAAGCTAATTAACAGTTCTTAAAAACATGTTTAAGAGATTTTAAATTTTCCTATGTGACTTCTGCAGAATATTCAAGGATTTATGTGGGATGAAGATAAAGTTAACCTTGAGCTAAAAAGGTATATGACTAGAGCTTTCAAGAACATAAAAGGAATGTGTAAAACTCACGACTGCGACTTGCGAATGGGAGCTTTCACTCTTGGACTCAACCGTGTCGCTCGCTCTACACTTTTGAGAGGTTGGGAAGCTTAGAGAAACACGAACATCAATCACTACTAGCTATAAGCTGTAGTTGGAGTTTCTTAGTTTTTGCATGGTTATTTGTCTCTTCTATCTTTTAATTCATTTGTTATCTTAGTTTAGTTTTAGTTCAATGTTAAGTAAAGACAAAGTTTCTTTATGTTAGTATCAGATTGTCATTTTGAATACTTTTTGAATCACTTTTGTTTTTGTTTTTACTTGTCTTGCATGTTGATTTTGATAAAGTAGCTTGAAATATTATTCAAATTTTTTTGATTTTTTATATTTATTTTTTAATCTTATTTTATTTTGTGATATAGTAAATTATAAATCACAATTCAGTGCATATATCTTTTAAATCTTACGGTAATCGCTAATGAAATGCAACCTTCTAATGAGGGACACATATATCCACAATCTATCTTGGTTTATGTTAATTTTATTCCACTACTACTAAATGTAAGCATTAGTAAGCTGTTGAATAGAAGTGCAATTGCTTGTTGTTTTCATGGCTATATTATCCATGCAAATTATTCTTTGAAAAATGAAAATGAAAGAAACAATGGACACGTAGAAGTGAGTCCAGCTAAATTGCATATATATATAGGTTTCATTTGCATCATGCATAATAATTTGATTTGCATTATGCATAGATTATAGATTACACACCTTTTGAACTTTTGGTTTGGCTATAATTACATCTGTCATTACTTGTTTCATTGTTTCCTAACACGTGGTAGGACATTGGAATTGGAATTGGAATTATAGATCATCACACTTGCACGTATGAATATGATGGTACCTTAGAGAGCAAAAAACATTGTCTTCTTCCCCACTAATAACCAATTAACTTATGTTTGGCCCCATTGGTGGAAAGTGGTCATTGCTATGGTATGGTATGATAGTATCTATTTTTTTCAATTAAATTTGTCAAGTGTCGGCACAAATTTGTTAAGTGTTGCACAAGTTTCATTCCTCTTCCTTACCCTTTTAGTGTCTATTTTTCTTTCTATAGACACTTCTTTTAAAATATGATATTGGAAGGTAGTGGAGTTCACAATACAATCTAGTGATCCAAATTGAATAAGGTTATATTTTATACAGTGATGCGAAGTTGTACGCCCTCCGTCTCATATTATAATTATAAATAAATTTTATTTTTTAGATTTATTGTACAATTATTATATTTGATTTATATAGAGATCAAATATATTAATTATTCAATAAATTTAAAAAATAAAATTGACTTATAATATAAGACAGAGTAGTATTAGTTAGTAGAAATCCAAAACAAATAAGATTTATATTTTAAATAGGAATGTAAAGTTGCATTTGTTAGTGGAGATTTTCACATGAATTGTTTTATTTTGGTGATAATGACTCTCATGAGTATGGATTAAATATTATGAAAATAATAGTTTTTTTATAGAGAATTAATTTTTTAATTTTTTGTGGTTAGTTTTTGAATTTTTCTAAGTTTAATATTGTTTTGATCATGTATGTTAATTTTGAGGGTTCATTTTGGTGCCTAATTTAAAAAGGTATCATATTGATCCCTCAATTCTTTAAAATGTATTATGTTAATATTTTTCGTCTAATTAACAATAAAAAATCCTAGAAACTGGATGTTAAATCTGTCACTAATGGATGAAAAGTATTACAAGTATTAGTCTGATAGAGTTGGTTATGATTTATTTTCTGTTATTAGAAAGTTGGTTAGAGTTAGTTAGAAGTAGTTGTGGCAGTTACAGTTTGTTAGAGCCCAACCAACTTCAATTAAGTATATATATAGTTTCTCCCTCTCCATATAAATGTTTAAGGTTTGAATCAATGAACAATGATAATGAATCACAAATTCAACTCATCAAAGCTACCTAACAATTCAAACATGGTTCAATTGCCTTTTGATCATTCATTCCTTCCGCTAACCTGTTTGTCGCTTCTTCTTCTCTAGTTCGTGTATCGTAAAATTCATCAGTGGAAAAAATTGATGAATCGTCTCCATTGTCCAAGAGCCGAACCACTTCACATGATGTAGCTTCTGTGTTTGGAAGCTCTTATTCTTCATCATTGTTTGTTCATAAGCTTTCCATCAAGCTACAAGATAATAACCATTTGTAGTGGAATTATCAGGTGAAAGATATGATTCTCTCGCATAAGCTTCATAGTTACGTGGTGAATCCTAAAATTCCCCCTATGTTAAAAATAGATGAAGATCGTCTTCAAAACACTTTTTTATTGGAATAGAAAACCTGAATAGTGTAAGACCAAGCTCTGTTCACGTGGTTGCTTTCAAGGATCTCTGAAACGATGCTCCCTTATTTGATTTCCTATAAATAGTCCTACGAGGTGTGGGATAAGCTTCACAAGCACTTCATAACAATTATGAAAGCACACATCAATTTCACACCGAACTCAAAACTACATGTTTTGCAGGCTCAAGTGCTTCCTATCACCTTACCTATTTTGAGTCCATCTTACAACATAAGTCTATATATTTAAGCAATGATAAAGTTCAAATATTCTCTGACCAAAGTCTTTCTATTATGTCCATTGGTTCATTGTGCTTTGTTCTTCGGTCCTCGCCTATCAATAAGCTAGTTTTTAACCAAATTCTTCATGTGCCTAGGATAATTAGAAATCTATTGTCTGTTTTGAAATTTTCCAAATACAATGTCACTTTTGAATTTCTTGCTAGCAAGTGTTTTGTGAAAAGTGGCGCCATAGTATTTTTTCTATTTTAAAATTAAAATAAAGTGGCGCTTCCTAGTTTTATTTTTCTAAGATACATAACGCTCCACGTTCATTCATTTTTGCCTATACGAACTTCATCATCTATCTCCAAACTCCATCTTCCATTTATGAAACTTTATTTCTCCACTAAATCAAACTTCAAAACATCATTTCTTCCATAAAAAAATCAAAAACATCATTTCTTTCATTAACAAGTTTCAAAACTCAATCATCTCTTCTCCAACTTGAACGAGACCAGGAAAATATGGATTCAACTTAGCAATGTTAGTTGTTGTTATTGTATCAGGTAAAATATTTAATGTTGTTGTTGTTGTTAAGATTTAATGTTTAATTATTTTATTGATTTTGTTTTTGTTGTTTTTTTTCTTGTTGTTGTTTTTGTTATTGTTGTTGTTGTTGAGATTAATTTTTAAGAAAACATAAGTGCACAACAATACACAACAGAAAACATTTAAAAACTTACAATGTTGAGGTGCCTCTCAACCAGCGCTTGTTTAACGTCGGATACGCTCGACGGTCCATGATGCTCAAGCTGGAACATCAAGGAGAATTGCACAGTTTTCTCGGTCCACATGACCGCCGAGGTAAATCTTTAGGCGCTGACCATTCACAATCCAGTTGTCTTTCCCATCCATGTCCTCAATTACCACAGCCCCGAAAGATTTCACTTCTTTGACGCGGAACGGTCCGGACCACTTTGACTTTAATTTACCAGGAAAAAGCCTCAACCTGGAATTAAACAACAACACAAGCTGCCCGGGCGCAAATTCTTTCTTGCGGAGCTTTTTATCGTGGTACTCCTTCACTTTTTCCTTGTACAACCAACTTGAGTGGTATGCGGCATTGCGCATCTCTTCCAATTCAAGAAGTTGCACTTTTCTCTTGTCACCAGCCAACTCTTGATCAAAGTTTAAAAATTTTAAAGCCCACAAGGCCTTGTGCTCCATTTCAACCGGTAGATGGCAAGTTTTACCAAAAACCAATTGGAATGGAGTCAGCCCAATCGGAGCTTTATAAGCCGTGCGATACGCCCATAAAGCTTCGTCTAACTTTTGAGATCAATCCTTTCTAGAGCTAGATACGATCTTTTCCAATCTCTATTTGTGACCTCGGCTTGACCATTCGCCTGTGGGTGGTACGGAGTGGTCACTTTATACGTTACACCATAATGCTGCAAAACTTTTTCAAGCGGTGCATTGCAAAAGTGTGACCCTCCGTCACTAATCAACACTCGAGGGGTTCCAAAACGGGAAAAAATATTTCTTTTTAAAAAGTTTATTACCGTTTTAGAATCTGCTCTTGGTGAGGCAATCGCCTCAACCCACTTCGACACATAGTCGACTGCCACCAATAAGTACTCGTTTCCAAAAGACGGTGGGAATGGTCCGACAAAGTCAATGCCCCAACAATCAAATAATTCTACCTCTTGGATATTTTGAAGAGGCGTTTCGTCTCTCTTTCCTATCCCACCACTCCTTTGACAACTGTCACAATTTTGCGCATGGGTATTTGCGTCTTTAAAAATAGAAGGCCAATAAAATCCCGATTGAAGGACTTTATTCTCCGTTCTAGCCCCGTTAAAATGAACGCCATAAGGCGAGTTGTGACAGTGCCATAAAATACTTTGGGCCTCATCGCCCGTAACACATCTTCTCAACAAATTATCACATCCCAGCTTAAATAAATAAGGATCATCCAACACATAGTATTTGGCATCCGAGATGAATTTCCTCTTTTGATTAGGAGTTAGGTCGTGCGGCACAAAACCGCTCGCCTTGTGGTTTGCAAAATATGCAAACCACGACCTCACTTGCACTTTAAAGAGTTTTTCATCAGGAAACTCTTCTCGGATATCTTTTTCTAAGGCGGTCACCTCATCATTGACAAGCCGAGACAAATGATCTGCTACCACATTTTCGGATCCTTTTTTGTCTTTAATCTCAACATCGAATTCTTGCAACAAAAGGATCCACCGGATAAGCCTTTGCTTAGAATCCGGCTTGGTTAGCAGATATCTAATCGCCGCATGGTCAGTGTAAATAATAACTTTTGAGCCAATGAGATATGGACGAAATTTCTCAAGCGCATATACTATTGCAAGCAATTCTTTTTCGGTAGTGGCATAATTTATTTGGGCCTCATTAAGAACCTTGCTTGCATAGTGTATGGCATGAAAATTGTTTTCTTTTCGTTGGCCAAGCACCGCTCCTATTGCATAGTCACTCGCATCACACATTAGCTCAAAATTTAAATTCCAA